GGGAAGCCTGCTTCTCCCTCTCCCACTCCCCCTGCTTGTGTTCCCTCTCTCGCTGTGTCTTTCTGTCAAATAAGTAAATAAAATCTTTTTTTACAGAAATTTCTATAACATTTGATTTCCTTGTTCTAAAAGGAAAAATTTTGAACTCAAAATGTCCTCATCCACAAATTAAATGTTTATTTTATGGTCACACAGGAACCCAGACCATGTGATGGCTGGACAGTCTATCTCCTCTCCATGTCATAACTACAGAGCTCCCTTTATAGTCACTAGAAGGAAAGGGATTGAAGAATGAACACATCCATTAACCCACCTGATTTTCTTATCTGCCAGGAGCAAACTTAGCTAAGCCAAAGAGGAGAAACCATAGATCATAGTATAAATATGTGTACATCTGGAATTCCTCAAAAAGCCCTGAACCCACCCTCCCCTTTTTTCATGTAGCCAAATGCTGAAACTTGGAAGATCAAAACCCTGGACCTTAGCATTGTATAGTGTTGTAGGAGCAAAGAATATGGATGTAAGACCACTGCTCAACTACTTTGATCCTTTGTTTACCTGGCTGAAAGAGCAAAACAGGAATTCTTTTGTGGGTTGGAACACTGACTGGAGTCCATGTGAGTACATTGAGTTGACACATTTCAAATGCCTCCCTTTCTGCTTCCCCTAGCCTCCTCTGGCCCATCTCATGGAGTTATGACACAGCTGAGTGTATTTTCCCTCTGTGTAGACCCTGCTTCTGACTGGCTATGGTGACTGCTGCCATTTTATTGGGGAGGAAACACATTTGTTAAGCACCTACTATGTATCAAGCATGATGAAAACTACACACACACACACACACACACACACACACATTTTCTCTCTCAAGTCTGCTTTATTAGCCCCATATTTAAAAATAAAAGTGTATAACACTCCCCAACCCACTGCACTCAAATCCTGCTCTTCAAAGACAATTTTTTAAATCAATTTTAATGCTATTACCTCTTCTTTCTGGCAGTCACATATTTCTGAACATTTTGTTTATACAATTTCTTTATTGGTCAGTTTTAAGGATGCACTTCTGCCTACTCTCCCACCTCCCTTCCTCATCTCTCAATAATGTTTTAATATTTTTATAAGAAATTAACAGTATTTATATCATAATGCCTGAAGAGCCAAGCAATACACTATTTTAAACCCTTTCCTATGTGGCTCTTTGTTTGTCCCGGAGTTTCTACTGCCTTATTTCTTTAATGTCTAATTTGCTATTATTGTTGCATTGATCTTTTCCAGGTATTCCAACATATCTATTCTTTTCAGCCTCATGTTTTCCTAAAGACTTCCTTCTCAGAGTCCTACATTCTTCTGTCTCCATCTGACCACAGTTTTCATCCTGAGTCATCCATCTTTTTGCTGCTTTCCTGGGTTGAACCCATTGCTTCCTGGATTCCATGCCTTCTTTCTTGGATCATCTCTTGTTTTGCTGCAGCAGAGACTCCAAGTGACTTTCTAAGCAAGAGCATGTGGGGTAGGAGGGCCAACTGTGCCCCACGGTGGCTTTAACCATACTTTAACTTTCATTCCCCTTGTTTTCAGTCTGATATCTTCTTCCCACCCCCAGCTGTACTCAAATCCCAAGCCTCTCCGGGACTCTCTGGGACTTTGGGGGTCTGTACTGCCTCTGCATACACATTAGGCCGTGGCTTTCTGACCCTTGAGAAGGCACTTACCCACCCCTCCTGCCCGGCTCTGTTCCTTCTCATTTTCCAAAAGTGTATGTTTTTATACCTGTTAAAAAATTCCTTTACTATCACTTCGGTGGGATCTTGGGAGGGGAAGGAAATAAATGCACATGATCAATCTGTCATCTGTAACCAATAGTCTACGATTTCTCTTTAATCAGATGCTGACCAAAGCATTAAAGTGAGGATAAGCCTAAAATCAGCTCTTGGAGAAAAAGCAGTGAGTATTCTGGACAGTGTGTCCATTACTTCTTTTTTTTTTTTTAAGTTTTATTTATTCATTTATTTGAGAGAGAGCACATGCAGAGGGACAGAGGGAGAGGGAGAAGGAGAGAAGCTGATTCCCTGCTGAGCATGGAGTCTGCCACTGGGGCTCGATCTCATGACCCTGAGATCATGACCTGAGCCGGATGCTTAACCTACTGAGCCGCCCAGGCGCCCCCGTCCTTTACTTCTTAATGCACTCCCTTAAATGGGACAAATAAGCCCATTCCAGTGTGTTCTAAAAGAACACAGGCCACATGTTTCTCTTAAAAACTACAAGCTCCAGATTCTGGCTCTTGGGCTTTTTTTTTTTTTTTTTTTTTTTAGTAACACATTCTTTATTGGATTGGTGATGTCTACTTTTTCCTTGTTACTTTCAAGTGCTATGAAGATCAATGAGAAAACATCCAATCTTAAATATCAAGTGTCCACCCTTTTTTAAAAATAATTTTTTAAAAAATTTTATTTATTTGAGAGAGAGCCAGAGAGCACAAGCAGGGGGAGTGGCAGAGGGAGAGGGAGAAGCAGGCTCCCCACTGAGCAGGGATGCTGGCTCAATCCCAGGACCCCGGGATCATGACCTGAACTGAAGTCAGAAGCTTAATGGACTGAGCCACCCAGGCACCCCAAGTGTCCATTCTCTTAAGTCACTCTTATCACCATTACTTGTATTTGAGGAAGAGGACAAGGTTATATTTTGAGAGATTGTTTTTAGAAGTACTGTAGATAGTTTTGCTCTGTTTTGTTTTAGTCAATCATCCATATCCTGGAAGCTTGTTAAAAATGCAGAATCTTAGGCCCCAGCCCTGGAACCTGCTTAAGCCAAATCTGCATTTTCACAAGCCCCCAGCTGGTTTGTATACACCAGACTGGGAAGCTCTGATTTACAACAAGATTTCTCAAACCTGGCTGCACCCTGGAGTCTGGAGTCGGATGGGATGTTTAAAACATATTAAAGCTCGAGTCCCACATCCAGAGATTCTGACTCAATTGTTCTGAGGTGTAGCATCAAGAGTTGAGCATCAAGAGTTTTAAAATCTCCCCCAGGTGATTCTAATTACAGCCAAAGTTGAGAACTACTGATGTCCATCTGCATTTGGGGAGAACCGAATGTTTCACGGCAAAGCAGATCACTCACACCTGCGTGTGAATTCCTTTCAGCAGCTATTGCTCTACTAGACACCTGTCTCAGGCTAGCCAGGCTGAAGAAGCAGTAGCTTTGGGAAAGAGGAGAGGACCGGGCAGCCCCAGGCAGAGGGGGAGCACAGGAGGCCATGGAGGATGAGAGCACAGCCTGGGACTGTTGGATGGAGCGGCCCAGGGCGCAATAGAAAATTGTGATTTGCATTGGATAGAGCCCAAGATTACATTTCGACCCCCTTCCGTTTCCTGCCAAGTTAAATATTGCCTAAGGCTCCACGGTAGTTACGGCGTCATTTTCCTAGCTAAGTAAGACAGCTAAACATAGATAACACAGTAGGAGTGAAAAATGAAACTTTAAGAAAGAAATAATAAAAACGAAGGCACATCCCTTTCCAAACCTTAAGCGTTCAGATTTCCAATTCTTTACCATCATTGAATGTCTGTGGGATTATTTCTCTTATCTTTATATTAGTGCTTCCTTGGCCCAATACATTTTAGTTCCTTTAAAGGATCCAGCAGATCAGGATCCTTTTCAGTTATCGTGTTTTCTTGACGTCTGTCCCCATGTTCTCTTTCCCTGCAGTGAAGGATTGGTACGTGGTCTTCAGAGGGGTTGGTGGTGTGCCGCTCTGAGGCCCCTTAGCAGAGTAGCAGGCTGCTTTGCTGGGGCCGGCCCCCTGCTTTAGCAGCCCCCGCCCCGCGCATCCCGGCCAGAATCTCCGCCCAGGTCAAGCTGTTGTATGGCAAAGTCCAACCAGATCTTTGGCATGGTTTTGTGAACTCAACCTTTACTTTTTTTTTTATTTTATTATGTTATGTTAATCACCATACATTACATCATTAGTTTTTGATATAGTGTTCCATGATTCATTGTTTGCCTTACTTTTTTTTTTAATATGGAAATAGTAACCGGAATATTCACAGTAGCGATATTAATAACATTATTAGTACTCTCAAAGCAGCTTTTTTTTTTTTTGCCAAACCTGAGTGGTATCAAGCTGAGGTTAATGTAACCAATCTTCTGTGAAACCTTGTCATTGTTTTTTCTAAAAGGGAAAGGAGAGAGGCAAAATTTGTGCCATTCATTGATTTCTACTGCCAGCTACTGGAGGAAAGAGTGAATGCTTTTTTACTCTTTTAGCAAATGTTCAGACTATGCAAATACACCAGCTGTTTGTTTAGCACCGAAAAACGAGAACAAATTACCTTGTTGACAGTTATTTTTTCCTTCGAACCTCAAGTTTCTTTTTCCTGTACACTTGTACATATCTGAGAACTTACTGTATACACAGTAAAAGCTCTGCATCTTTGCCTACGGTACATGGACTTTTTTTTCTTTTTTAAAGTTATTTTTTTCTTTCCACTATAATTAACATACAGTGTTACATTCGTCTCAGGTGTACAATACATGGACATTTTAACTAAAACCCACGACCCGCACGGCTCCCATGCATAAAGCTGCCCTCAGGATGTTTATTTAGGCTCCTCTCAAACCGAAAAGGATCCATGAACAGGGTCCTTAAGGCACAGGTGCCTGACAGCATTAGCGCCCCCTGGGAGCTTGTTACACATGCAAACCCTCCGGTCCCATGCCAGACCTTCTGAATTAAAAACTCAGGCGGGTAGGGCCCACTCTTCAGTGGTTTCACCAGCCCTCCGGGGGATGCTAGTGCCCACACAAGTTGGAGGTCACTGACCTAATGAATAGCAAGATTCTCCAGAGTATTAGAGAATGTAAAGAAAAAAAAATGCTTCTGGAATATCAGGTTTTGAATGTATCCCATGATCCCTACTGAGCAGTGTTTTCTTTTTGAATTTGCAGTACGAATGGAATGACAATGAGATGTACCTGTTCCGCTCATCTATTGCATATGCCATGAGAGAGTATTTTTCAGAAGTCAAAAACCAGATGATCCCTTTTGTGTGAGTTACTCTAAACAGTATTTCTCTTTCTCTCGGGTCTGAAAAGATATTGTGCTTAAACTTTTATGCAAGTAAAATTAAGAAAAACCTCCTAATGACTCTGGAACTACTCTGATATCCTGGAATTTGGGCCATTCTCTTTAGGGAGGACTGTGACTTACTTGACTTATAGATTGCAAGAGCACTGTTCTCTTTCCCCCTCTCCTCCCTTCTCCTCTCCCTCCTCTATTCCTCTCCCTTTCCCTCCACCAAATGCTTCCTCTACCCTCAGCACTGAAAGGAAAAGACAGACATCTCTGCCTTCACTGAACTTGCCTTTAATGTGTATTTCATGTGTGGATTACAATCAGCAAAATGTGTTAAGTGAAATATACTAGAATGAGATGGTGACAAGTTCAAGGGAGAAAAATACCACAGATAGGGGGCTAGGGAGTGCTGGTGTGTCTAGAGTTCAGCTTGAACTGCAATGGTCAGAAAAGGCCTCATGAATCCTTGAGCAAACATCTGAAGCAAGGAGAGCACCAGCAAAGCAGACAAGGGGAAGGTAGGTAGCAGTTGGAGAGATTCTGAGGAACGAAGATCCTCCACTTGTTGAAGGAACAGCAAGGAGGCCAGTCGGGCCGGAGCAGTGAGCTCATAGAAGACAAGTAGGAGGTGTGGTGTGGTCAGGGCGGTAGTGGGGCCAGGGAGTAGGAGGGGGAGAAGAACGTTCTCCTGGGCCTCGCAAGCCATTCCAAGGACGTTGGCTTTCTTCTGAGTGAGAAGGGCGGGGAGCCACAGGATCTGCCTTAGGTTTTGTCAGGATCCCTGTGGCAGCTGGGAGAGGCCAGTCTTGTCACCTTGTTAGTAAAGACCACTCCTTCTCCCCCGGCTGTGGGTGTAACGTGACGGGTTTGGCAGCGTGGGACTGGGGTGAAGGAACGCACCACCTCTGTCCGTGGTACTGAGCCATCACCGCCCGCCACGATGTTTATCACAATCCTGGGGCACCCGTAGTTCCTCGCTGGTTCTTCGGCTGCCTTCAGTTCGAAATTTTTCTATCATTGAAAGAAAATGGGGTTCATCTAGGGGGCAGAACGGAAAGCGCCAATAGCGTGTTATTCCAACTTGTGTCCTTGAGTTCATGTGCTTTGGGAAGTGTCGAGGATATGGGGACAATCACATCCTTCCGTTGTTCGCCCTATCCCATGTCTCTCGCCTTCACCCTGTGACTCTTCCCCCCCTGCCCCTACCCCCTTTTCATTGGCAGGGGGAGCCCCCATTCTCTTTGCTGTGTCGTCTGTGCCACAAGGGAAGGTGTTTCCTTTGTTTCTCTGCAGGGAGGATAACGTGCGGGTGAACAATTTGAAACCCAGAATCTCCTTCACCTTCTTTGTCACTTCACCTGGAAATACGTCTCGCATCATTCCGAGAGCTGACGTGGAAGAGGCCATCAGGTGATTTTACTTTCAAACAAGCTGTCTAAGGGGGAGGGAGGCTGACAAATGCAACCACGACAAGGGCTTTTGGTTTAGTGTGCTCTGTGTGCCGGGCACTGTTCTGAGTCCTTTTTCAGCTTAAAGACTGGGATTTTAATTCCAGAAGGATCTCTCTTGCTTGGGCTCCTCTGTACGCGGGCCCTTAAACAGTATTGGAGTGTAAGTGGATTTAGGAGGCGATCTCCAGGAGCTCTGAGAAAGAAAAGTGCACAGGGGCAGAGGATGGAAGGAAGATCATAAATGACATGTTATCGAGCCAGGGACTGCGGTGGGCAACTAGAGCTCCATGGTGCCGGGAATTCTGGGACACTGAGCAGTCATGCACCTGAACTGTCCCATCCGCGCTGCGGTATTTATCCACCGCCTCCCACCAGCCATTGTTGCAAAGTGCTGGCCAGTGCCATGGCTTCCCCGGCAGTTCTGGCTTGCAGGCCGGGCAGCCCCTTGTGGCCTGAGAATGCTCTCAGGCAAAGGCAGCACGTACTGGCTGAAGAAGGTCTGGCCTGCACGCGTGCAGAATGGTAAATGAAGAAGGGACATGGACACGAATTGCCAGCATTTGTTGTAGGGACTCGGATGAAGGAATCATTTCAGTAATCAGCGTCAGGAACGAGGTGGGCAAGAATAGGATTCCTTAGCCGTCACTTGGCCTCCACACTAGGAGAGGGACTTACTGTGGGCAGTGAGCACCTAGAAGGAACGATTGGCCCAAGGTGCCTCGTCTGTTTCCCCAAACAGCAAGGAAGAACAGATCGATGACACTAAAAAAAAGGCTTAAGATACCTGCTGCTATGGGGGAGCCCGCTAGGTGGCCCGCTTGAGCTGCTGGTCATCTCTGGAAGCGCATCCAAGACCTGCCGGGCAGAGTGGGCCTGGAAAATCTGGCTTAGTTGGGGTGTACCACCCACCCACATCCAGAGACGTCACCATCGGCCTCCAAATGACTTGTTTCTGTCCTGGGGAAAAGTGCCAGCTGAGATTATCATTAAAGAGCCCAGCCCTCCTTGTGAGCTGCGGGGGATCTCAAATCTCCCGCTTCCAGAATGACCGGAGACACATTCAGGCTGAGGTTACGTGGCTAATTCTGCTCCGACAGATCTCCCTCTCTCCTTTTGACCTCCTGACCTGTACTGCACCCAAGGGTAGGAGGATGGGCTGCCAGACTCTTGGGCTTTCAATTCAGAATATTCTCAATTTCCCTAGTTTTGGTTTTTAAAATCACCTCTGTCCTTTTTTGCTCTCTAAAATTTAGCCATATCCCATCCCCAGTGCTGGAGAAATTGGTGAAGGCCCCTCTCCTGCATTCCTCTCCTGCCTCCAAAGGTCAATCCCTTTTACTTGGAAACTACAGCCGTCAAGACTTGGGTATAGGACCCGGTTGATTTGTAGAAGAGATGGACCCAGTTGTCCTTTTCTGTTATCTGATATAAAGTCATTGTACACCTACTCTGACAGAAGAGAAATTCTTGCCAAGCACGCTGACTTTGCCTTTACAACACAGCAGTCACGGACGAACAAACACCAGCCAGTTGCACGTTTCCACACTTGCAACCCAATTTTCCAAGGAAGCCGTTGCCAGACCTAATCTAGGCTACAAGATATGAAAGGTGCCTAATTGTCAGATCTCGTACCGTTCATGGGACCTGGCTATTGCCTTTGATTTCATTGCGATTTGAGGTGTACAGTCTTAGGCTAAGGCTTATCAAATCCTTTCAGGAGCAATGAGGTAAGAAGTAAATAATTACACACAATTCTGTTTTGCCTAAGTGTTTTTGCTTTTGGGAATAGGATGTCCCGGGGCCGTATCAATGATGCTTTCCGCCTGGATGACAATAGCCTGGAGTTTCTGGGGATTCAGCCAACACTGGGACCCCCTTACCAGCCACCTGTCACCATATGGCTGATTGTTTTTGGGGTCGTGATGGGAGTGGTGGTGGTTGGCATCGTCCTGCTCATCTTCTCCGGGATCAGAAATCGAAGGAAGTAAGTGACCCTTCCTAGACTTACCTTATCTTAAAACAGAAAGGTTTAGGGAAAACTAACTGGAAAATTTGCAGCAAGTGGTAGGTTGTATAAGCCAATTACTTTTTTGGACAACTTTGCACCTAAATATTCTGATGCATCCCCTAGAAATTTCCCAGATTTCGTCAGCACTTTGCCTTCGTAGCTGGCGTGCAATGTTCAGCCTGTGCTTTCGAGCGAGCCCGGGGAACCTCCATCCTGGCCACAGTGTCCTGTCCCTACTGCCGGGAGGTCCCGCAAACTCTGGGGGGGGGCGGGCAGGCAGGCTCAGGGGGTTGTCCGCACTCCTAGTCTTCCTTGGTCTAGAAATGACCCCGGAGACTGGCTCAGTGATGGTTGGCGCTGTAAAACCGTTCTAGAATGAGCTCTGCGATTCGCCTCAAACTGCCACCCTTCCATCATCTTCATTCCCCCTCAGGTGGCCATGCTCCCTGTCATCCCCGTGGCTCAGGGGCCACAGTACCCTCTCGTGTGTTCTTGAATGGAAGATCCAAGTCCAGTGAGGATTTAAATCACCAGCGACCTGATTTATAATCTTGCTCGGCCACTAGATGGTTTTTCTGACCTTGAGAAATCACTGGGTTTCACTGGGCTTATGTAATTAAGGTTAATAATATTTTATAGCACCTACCAAAACTCTGTGCACACTGCAGGTTGCCTAAACGTGTTCACGATGGAATTTTGACATGCCCTGGTCTATTTTGCTCAGTTCTTCACTGTGGAGATTTTTAGTTCCCTAAAATAGTTTCAGTTAAGAAAATTAGGCCTTGAATAGAATACATTCATATGGTTAGAATTTGAAAAACTCGAAAGGATACCCAGAATCTTCTTGCCACCCTTTGCCTCCAAGTTCCCTTCCCAAAGCCAACAACAATTATCAGTTTCTCAGAGACCTGTCTGTGGGTGGAGGGTCTGCGTTTTTAGTAAGGCCATCCCCCAGGTGATTTGTATGCACATGATGGTTTGAGAAGCATTCTTACTTTGCACATGAGCTACTTGGGGAACCTCCTTCATGCCACGTGCTGTGTTAATAGAAGGTATACAGAATAATCGGACTGGCTATCCTGCTCAGTACTTTGACGCATTAATAGTCTCAGCAAACATATGATGTCAATATGTAATTATCTAATTATCTTCACGTACATATCAAACTGAGATTCAGAGAGACCAAGTCACTCTCTCAAACTGACACGGCTTGTCTGTAACAGATTGGGATCCACAGCCGGTCTGCAAACCTGGTGGTTGTGTGACAGAGCTGTCCTGCTCTGGTCTGGACACTTGGGAAGCTGATCATTTAGTAGGGAAGCTCTTTAAAAAAGGAGGCACTTGGCTAAATGACCACTTCGTTTCTAAGTGACCACTTGGTTTCTATAAAGAATAATCCCAGCTACTATTTGTGGAGGCTTGCGCGCCAGGTACCGTGAGCGCTCTGCCAGCACCATCTCCTGGACTTGGCAGAACCACCATTGTTTTCCAAATAGGCAAACTGAGGAACAGAGGTGCGCTCTCTCTGACCCTGGAGCACATACCCTAAGCAGCCTCCCATGCTCTGCCAGCCTTCCCGCCATCCAATCGTGGGGCAAAAGGAGGGAATCTCATGCTCTCTAGGGGTTCCCAGTCCATCGGGAGGGGATGGATTCGCCAGCGAGCGATTTGATGCTGAGGTGTCAGAAGCCTGGGCCAGGGGGGTCCAAGGGAGGCCGGGTCCTTCAGCAGCACTATACCAAGGTGACTTTGCTTTATTTAACAGGAACGATCAAGCCACAAGTGAAGAAAATCCTTATGCCTCTGTGAACTTGAGTAAAGGAGAAAATAATCCAGGATTCCAAAATGTTGATGATGTTCAGACTTCTTCATTTTAGGAAAACCTGTTTGATTTCCTCTTGAGGTGATTTTATTGCATGCAAATGTTAATTTATGGTACAGACAATAGGCGATTATAAAGCTGTCATTAGATATCAAAACTGTGGCTCTGGTCAGGAAAAGTTATCCCAAGAAGACATGCCTGAGGAGAGGGCATCTTCACTGGCTTTCAGTATTTATTTCTGCCTCGAGATTTCACTTCTGTTCATGTTTGAGAGTAATAGAGAAAAATGTGTCTTTGGCCTCACGGCCGTTTGGGGGTAATGGAAGTGGAAATGTCTGTTGCCTGGCTGGAGTGGAAAGAGAAAAGAGGGATATATGGTGGGAGCAAGTGGGGCCTTCTATGGAGCCCCGGATGGATCGCTTTTAAGGACAGTCTCCATGAAATGGCGGAACTGCAGGGAGCGAGAATGGCACATGCTGTTCACTTCACTTAAAGTCAAGTGTAAAGGATGGCACGCTCTTTCACATTAAGTTAATCTAAGTACTATAGTGATTTGCCCACAGCGGTGAGTGGATTGGATCATGCCTTCTTCGGGATGACAGGTCTAAGGAAGAGAGAAGAATCCAGAGAGCTGTTCACAGATGTTGCCCTTTCACTTCCATCTGTGCTTGATGATCATCTCCCTGACAACGTAAGACCAGCCCCAGGGGCCTCCTGGACACCCCCCCGTCCCCCCAGAGCACACCTGATGGAAACTCACTTCTATTGTTCTCTGTGGAGTGACTAGAAACCTCAACTGAATGTCCTCCCCGGAAGTGGGTACCCAATCTCTTAAATCTTGTATTCACCCACAATGCCTGAGTAGTGCTGAGCACAAAGCAGACAGTCAATAAATACTGACTAGATTCACACTCCTGAGGTCTCACGTGTACTTACATGCTGGGGCTTCCGGGGATTCTGTCTGCTTGTCACTTCCACGGACAAAGTTGCTATCTGAATGCCTGGGACCACTTGACCTCTCAAATGTCTCGGAATGTGTCCCAATTTCTTAAATTGCTTTAGTGTACAAAGTGGCTCTAAGATCAGTCTAAAGAGGGGTGTGTAAGATTGTTGACACTGTCAGGTTAGGAACCAAGCCTAACACTCCTCAGAAAAATAGACCTCACAATCCAGCCCGGTTCTGAGCACAGCATCCACTACATACCTGAAGACGGATTCAAAATTGATGAAAACATCCCAACTTTACCCTGCAACTCACTCTCTTTGGTGACCAGCATAATGTTAGAGTAACTCTGTACTTAATAGTCTATGGAGAGGGGCGCCTGGGTGGCTCAGTCGGTTAAACATCCAACTCTTGGTTTTGGCTCAGGTCATGATCTCAGGGTTGTGGGATCGAGCCCCACATCAGGCTCCACGCTCAGTGGGGAGTCTGAGATTCTCTGTCCCTCTCCCCTGCCCCTCCCTCCCTCACTCTCTCACACGCGCTCTCTCTCTAAAATAAATAAATCTTTTTTGAAAATAACATAAATTCTATGGAGATAATGGTCATGGTGAATCAGTTAGCCAAGTCAGGGGAGGATGACCTTTTCTTCACTTCCAAGAGCATGTAGGCAGTCCCCTGGCTTAAAACAATAGTAGTAAATGCTAGATATCACCACTAAACATGGTTAAACAGCATTTTCAAAATTATGCATGTTTTACGTGGTATGAGTATTGTTCCTTTCCTTGGCTCCTCCTAGCATCACCGGGCTGCTTTTCTTATAAACCTCCACTGGTATCTTAAAATCTTACTTGACTTGATGTCGGGAGCCAGGCTTCTAAGCACTGCTTCAGTCCTTTTCATAGTAGACGATTCTGTACTGTTTGAATTTTTGCAATAAGTGTATATTACTTTTGTTACAAAGAGGACTGTTTTTAAAAAACCAAATACAAAGAAATAAGGAGAAGAAAGGAAAGCAAACTTCACGAGGGCCTGTTGAGGAGAAGAGGAGTTGAGTTACTGGTTCCTTCTTTTCCCTTGGGTAGGAAAGAACCCTGTCAGACAGTACTTGCTCAAGAAATGTTCGCTGAATGTTATTCATGCCCTAGTGGTTATTTTAAAGTTCCATTTCATTGTAAATTGAGCTTTGTGCACCTCTGTAAAAAAAATAGAAAACTATCAAAAGTCCATTCTTCTGAAAATGCAGGAATCTGCATGTATGTGTTAAGAAACAACCAAGAGAGATCATTGGAAATAGCTGGGAGGTGATGGAGTCAGTGGGATGTAATTGTGCCTCCAGTGGCCTTTCTCTCTCCCTCCTTGACGTTACAGAAAAGACTGTGAAGTGCTTCAGAAGAGATGAAAACCTATGGGCTCAGCAGTGGGTCGTGAAGGAGAGGAGTCCCAGGAATAGTTTAAAAGCAGAAGTACCTTTTAGTAATCACCAGGAGAAACTGAAATAATACTTCTGTACCTTTGTGTCAAGATAGAAGACTGAAATAGAAATGTCAGTCACCAAACTAGCCAGACGCCCCAGAGCCCCAAACTCAAGGATTGAAAATGATTAGAAGGCAGGGTGCCTGGGTGGCTCAGATGGTTAAGCGTCTGCCTTCGGCTCAGGTCATGATCCCGGGGTCCTGGGATCGAGTCCCGTATCAGGCTCCCTGCTCCTTGGGAGCCTGCTTCTCCCTCTGCCAATCTCTCTCTCTCTCTGTCTGTCTCTCACGAATAAATAAATAAAATCTTTATTAAAAAAAGAAAATGATTAGAAGGCAGCAATCAATTCTAGAATAAGACTGTGGTTACACCATATCCAAACTGATAAGGATTAAGGTTAAAAAAAAGGCATCAAGTTTACCTTAGCATCTTTAAGAATTTGCTCCATGTGGAAATATATTTAATATCTTCTTGAATATTATTTAATTGTAGTTTTATATTTGCATGGCATACATATATGACCCAAAGAGTCTTTGTTCTAATCTGGAAGTCAAATGAGAGTTGAGTCATTTAGACTGAATTACGGACCACCTAATGCTGCCCCACTATATAAGGAGGTCCTCTAGAGCAGGGGTGACTGCGAGGAACATCTGGAAACTTAGTTCCTTAGGAATCTCTGTGTGTGTTTAAGGATTTTATTTGTTTATTTGAGAGAGAGAGGGAAAAAAATGAGCAGGGTGGTGGAGTCAAGGGAGAGGGAGAAGCAGGGAGCCCGACGCGTGACTCGATCCCAGGACCCCGAGATCATGACCTGAGTCGAAGGCAGATGCTTAACCTACTGAGCCACCCAGGCGCCCCAGGAGTATATTTTAATGAACTCTCCTTTTGATTTGCATACATGCTAAAGTTTGACAGCATTGAAACATGAAGCCAAATGTCCACATTTTGGTACTTGTTAAGAGCATATTTAATTATCAGGATAGTGACAATATAAGGAAAAGAACAAATATCCAACAAAGAATTTTTTAATTCGATGCAATCTTTACAAATGGTACACCCTCTGTCTACCACAATCAGAAAATGTGCTTCTGCTATAGGCTGGGAAGTGTAATAATATTAAGAGCAGCATACACAGAATTACTAATTTGACCTAAATTTCAAGGAAATCTTTTGTTTCTTACCTTGTTCAATTTCGAGATAATACAACAGGCGAACAGCACACAGAAGGCTATTAAGAAGAACTAGCTAAATTACATTGTCTGCGTCTTGCTACTTTCCTTAAAAGGAATGAAGGTGTTGGCCAGCATTTACATTCGTTCTCATCAGATCTCCTAATTTCTTTTTCAAGGTTTGTCTTTTTCCCGAAGTGGTTCAATGGAAGCTAGGAGTTGCTGAAATGTGGGACGCTTTTCTGGAAGCTAAATAAAAGAAAAACCCAGTGGCTTAGTTTATGAAAGTTAGGATTAAAAATAAAATATAGAAGATATGTATACCTCAATCCTAAAGCTAGTGACTGTTTAAGTGTGGAAACACTATGGACATTTCCACTAAAGACAAAACAACTAGAGCCCTAAGAACTGGAAGAGAAACAGTAAAAATATCTTTATTTGTGTAAGATATGGTTGTATGCCCGGAAAAACCAGGAGAATGAACGATAGAACCGACCCAAATGATAAGGAGTTCGGCAGGAGAGCAGTGTGCAAAACTAACATATAAAATCAATAGCCTTCAGGTACATGTACAAGAAATGACACCAAAATAAAATACAAACAAAAACGTACCTCCCACCCCAAAATGAGGACAGCTTTAAACACTGCTGAAAAATACAAATGTAGACTTATGCACACAGAAAACCGTTGCTTGTTCTTGAAGAGGACAAATCAATATCACAAGGATGTCCAATTTCCCTAGTTAAAATATAAACTACAGTCTCCTCCAAAACATGAACAAGTTTGTTTCAAGCTGAACAAATTGATTCTCTAGTTCATAGATTTTTAAAATATGCAGAAATAATACCTGAAACGAATATAACACTGTAGGTTAAGTACGCTGGAGCTAAAATTTAAAAAATTTAAAAATTAAACTCGATTTAAAAAAATGTATGTAAAAATAGCCAGGAAAGGTATAAGAAAAGGTGAGCAATGAGGGAGTGCTAGCCTACCTAGGATAAACACATATTATAAAGTCTCTATAATTAGAACAATGCAGTGCTAGCACATGAATAGAGACCAGAGAACAGAAGAGGGAGTCCCCAAATAACCCCAAATACATATGGAAATTTCCCATGTTAGCTATTTCGGCACCATTAGATGGTATCTTGCCCCTGGGAATGACATGGTCTTCTGATGATGCTGCAGCAAGCAGATCGTCAATTAGAAAACGAGATCTTTGGATCCATACTTCGTACCATATACGATAACAAACACAAACTAGATCAGAGATCTAAATATGAAAGAATGAAACCATAGAAGTACTAGAGGAGAATCTGAGTGAATACTATCATATCAGGGTCTGGGGAAACCTATCTAACTTCAACTCAGTTTCCAGAAGCAATAAAAGCAAATATTAATAGAGTCAATCATATTTAAAAAAATATTTTGCATGGTAAAAACCACCATAAATTAAGAGATAAGTGACAAACTGGGAGAAAATATTTACAACTATCACAGATAAAATACTAATCTCTTTCATTTATAAAGGGGACTTTAAAATCAAGGTGAGGGAAACAAAAAACTTGATAGAACAAAGGGAAAAGATATGCCATTTAATTCTCAGAAAGAGATACCAGTGCCCTTGAAAGTAAACCTGAATTGTAATGAAAGATGTACATAAAAAAGCTGCAGTAAAATGCCATTTCTCATCTATCAGATTGGCAGAAATCCAGGAGCTTGACAATGGTCTGTGTTGGTAAAATAGGCGCATTGATGGAGGGGCAACTCCTGCAGAGGGGATTTGTATGCTCTTTTCGTAAGAAAGATACGGAAACACACACACACACACGTACATTCTCACTTTTGTGCAAAGAAGTATGGGAAAGATAAATTGGAATCTAATGAAAATCGTGAATGTTCTTCTAAAAGTTGTGAAATAGAATATTTTAAAGGTGGGGGACCAAAATGTGCAAAACACTCACTATATGCAGAACCTTCAACTGGGGATTGTCTCTGTGCAGACCCGTAGTGTTGTGATTAAGAGCAGGGACTCGGAGACTAGCCAGCCTACCTCTTACTAGCTGTGTGACCTTGGGCAAGTCACTTAACCTCTCTGGGTCCCTGTTTCCTCTTAGTTTTGGTCATGCTAGTACCTACTTCATATAGTGTGTTGCCTGATGAATAAATGGGTTAATATTTGTGAAGTTCTTAGAACAGCGCTGGATGTAAGTTGTTTGTTAAACCATTAGCACCTACATTGCTCCATTGCTGGTTTTAAATTACAAACACTTGAGGGAAGGGGCGCGGGGCCATTGCACCCGCTGTGTAGCAGGTGTTTTCCCTCATAAATGACTCGCCCAGTGGTGTCCTAGGCAACTGCCGTGGATGCACCTGACGCCCCTTCCAGCCCCTCCTCCCCCCGCGGTGCACTTGCCTCGTGCCAGCAGCTGTACATGATCTGGTAGATGGTGTCCGATGCCAGTTGGGGCCGGTAGAGTCTGTGGCCCTGGGAGACCTTCACAACCACCTGGGAGTTGTCATACAAGTCATACGGCTGCTTCCCCAGGCTGAACACTTCCCACATCAGGATCCCTGCGCCACACGTAGGGCAAACGGCAGACAAAAGGGAAAAAGAGAGCCCATGTCAGAAGGTACAGAGTTTGTTGAACAAGCCTCACACACCAGATCAGGGAAGCTGTGGGTCAGAGTGAGGGATCCCCGGGAAATGGGTCCTAGCAAAAGGACAGGGTATAGACGGTGGGACTGTACCATCACTTCTGGAGCCCAGGGTGCCCTTCTCCATGCTCCCGGAGACCCGGGTGCCTGTTCTGGTAAACGGGTCAAGGGCAAAGGCAGCCGCAGCGGAAGCTACTTGGGGTCAAGATTCTTGGGCTGTTTCAGAGAGGCGGCTGGGGCCTCGTCCACCCTCAGAGTCAACCCCCAGCTCCCACCCGGAGGAGTGAGTGACTGAAGTCCTCGCCCTTTCTTTCTCTCTGACTTGGCAGTTGTGGGCAACAATTTCAGTGCACCGTCAAATTGCCTTCCCGTGGAAATTTACAGATAAAATCATTGACACAATTCCTCCGTTTTGCCTCGGTGGTTCCTAATATTTTGTGGGCCAGGTGTCCTTTTGAGAATCTGATAAAAACCATTGGCTGTCTCTCGGGAAAGTGAACGCACAGCATTTTTGTGTTCGGTTTCTGGATGTTCGCGGTGTCCTGAAGCCCATCCAAGGCCATTGCAGACTCCAGGTTTAAAAACCGGGTTCTGGTCATGGTGGTTGAGGGTGGCCCTGGGGTCAGTTAGATGTGGCCTTTGAGGCTTGGTTCTGCCGCTTAGAGGCTGGGCAAGTTTCTCAGCCCTTCTCGGAGCAGGTTCCCTGTCTATAATAAGCCGATATTTGCACATCAGAGAGTTGTTGTGAGCATGAACCAGGATAAGACATGCAGAGCACATAAAGACCACCAGGACACTTTAAACGCTCTCTAAATGGTGGCCAGTGTGCTGTAGTCCGGACCAAGCCAGAGAATTTCAACAGTCAGCCAGCTTTGAAGCTTTGGCAAGCCAGAAATATGTAAGAAGGAAGAAAACTACTCTAGAACCGTAACTGAAGTACTAACTTCAAAATTTCTTTGACTCTTAGGGCTACAGATTTTATGTAAAATATTTACAATAAGGCACTATTACAAGTTGCTGGGGCTGTATTTTTTTTAACAACCTTCTAAAACAACCACCCAAAAGTTCTGTCTTTGGAAGGCTATCCACTTATCTCAAAAATAATATCATTGCTTCAAATATCTGTGGGGCTCCCTCTTTGAGAATTGCTTTCAGAGGCCCTGGTTCATTTTGAATATCCTCACTGGGGACAAGTTACTTAAGAACGGATTTAGTTTGGGAAAATAGCCAGAAAATATCTGTAGCCAACTTCTAGTGCATAGGGTGAGTAATCAAGCTGGGCAATGCCATTTTGGGGTCAAAAACAAGCTGTAACTCTTGAGTAAGGATACTGATTTTTAAAAGCATCTTTCATAAGGCATATCAACACAAGGAGACTGAAACTAGTTTTGACAAGTTAATCAGCCCGAAAGGATATCAAGTATTCACCACAATGCTATCTTTGTGGGTTTTTTTTCTTTCTCTGCGTATGTTGGATTATTATTTTTTTAAGTGAATGATACTACTTTTCCAAAAGTAATAGTTATGTTAAAAAAAAATGTGTGTCGGGGCACCTGGGTAGCTCAGTTGGTTAAGCGTCTGCCTTCAGCTCAGGTCATGATCCCGGGGTCCTGGGATCAAGCCCCGCATTGGGCTCCCTGCTCCATGGGGAGCCTGCTTCTCCCTCTCCCTCTGCCTGCCACTCCCCCTGCTTATGCACTCTCTCTCTGTCAAATAAGTGAATGGGATCTTAAAAAAAAAAAAATGGCTAAATTTTCTTTTATTCATGCAGTCTTTTGGATGTCATATAAAAAGTCAAATTATGCTTATGGACCAAGACAGACATGAAATAGGTCTCAGTTGCATTTAATATATCCATAACTTTGTGATAATTTGGATTATTTATCCTGGATCCATCTGACAGTGATTGTAAACAGGCCTGACATTCTTCATAGTGTAGAAAGATATCAGAAAATCTATCACATCTTAAAATCAAATCACAACTTAATTATTTCCGTTTTCTAATGACCTTTACTAAATTTCAGTATAGATCTTTAATAAAATAGGGGCCAGCAAACCTTTTCTGTGGAGGGTCACATAGTAAGTATTTTAAACTTTGTAGGTCATACAGCATCTGGCACCTGCCCCACTCTGCTGTTCCAATACAACATCTGACATAATACAGGAACGAATGGGCATGGCTTGCTCCAATGAAAATTTATGTACAGAAACAGGCCACCAGACTTGGTGCTGAGCCAAGGTTTGCTGACCCTTGATCTAGCGATGAATTTTAATGAGGACCCTAGTTGAAATCAGTATGGGCTAAAGACAGCACTGAGTTGTGTTTGGGGTTTGCACCAGGCATACCCAGAGGGTTGGTCACTTCCAAAGGGAATGGTGGCCACGGCTGCTTTCACGCCGAAAGTCCATGACTATATCTCAAGCCCTTCAACGTTTTGGACTTCACGCAAACTCAGCTCTAGTTCTCAATGACTCCTTTAAAACTGTTAGCATTCTTCAGTGGAAGAGTTTTTATCTCCTATGGTTTGATACAAAGGAGCTAGCAGGATGCGGATTTTGTACAATACGAGGCAGACATCCTGATACTGGCCCGAGCATAGGTCACCATCATCTCCAATCTCTTGCTTATCTCAGGCCATGAAGGTCATTTCGCAAGTGCTCGGGGCTTTTGCTAAAAATGGATGTTGCTGCTCTTGTGGTTTCCTGTTGTGGAAGCGAGCTTACGAAATGGGGCTGGGGCCCGTGTGGCCACATTCTTACCGAACGCCCACACATCTGACTTGCTGCTGTACTTGAAGTAGTGAAACACCTCTGGGGCTGACCACTTGACCGGAAACTTGGTTCCTACCGAGCTGACATACTGGTCATCAAGAACATACCTGTGGGGGAAAAACATCAACACAGACCTCAAGTCACTTGGCTGTGCAGCATGAGAAGCCCTCTGTGGCAGGTTGATTAAGGACACAGAGCCCCGCAGTCTCAGGGGAATGTCTCAGTTTTCTAGATCTTTTGCTCCTTTCAATGTGTAGCTTAGCCAAAGGCTGCTTATAACTTGTAAACCTTAAAAAATTATACCTAACTTTGCAAATACCAAAATCGGAATGCAAAACATTTGGGAAAATAGAAAAACACAAAAATGTCAAAATCAAATGACTCCGTCTCACCCTGAAGATAATTTGTAATTCTGCCATTCAAGATACAACTTTGCTTGTACTTTACAATCTTTTGTTCTACATATAATATGCACAAAATTGGGTTTCTGTCGTACTGAGGTTTGCTTTTTCCTTTAACGACACAGCAAGAACACTTTCCCCGTGTGGTTACATTTTCTTCTGCGGCATCATGTTTAATGACTGGATAGCATTCCCTCTTGTGGATTAACATCATCTGGTTTCACCTTGTAAGTTGCTTCTAATCTGCTGTTACAAACAATGATGAATGACAATATCCTCTGGAGATACCGAGACCATAAAAATATATATTCAAGTATATGCACTATATAATAATGATAAAAATAGAAGCAACCTCAATGTGCACATGTTGAAGAACAATTAAATATGCTATAGCACACTGATGCAGTAGAACAGTATGTGCCCATTATGAAACGAGATAGCTCTATATTTACCAAAATAAAAAAAATACCCATGGAAAATGGGTATGTGCAAAAGTAGATATATATAGTGTAATGCCATTTAAAAATTTTTTTAATTCCAGTATAGTTAACATACAGTGTTACATTAGTTTCAGGTGTACAACATAGTGATTTAACACTTCCATATATTACTCAGTGCTCCTCAAGGTAAGTGTACTCTTAATCCCCTTCAGCTGTTTCACCATTTTTGTGGGAACAATAAATGTACATATTTGCATATATGATTAGGTATACTTAGAAATGAGGTATGAAAGGACATCTGTGAAATGTGTTAGCAGTAGTTACTCCTAGTGCTGAGAATAAGGCAAAGGGGTGGGGGCAGATTCTACTTTATACGCTATTGCTATATTTCTTACAATAAGCATATATTATTTCTATAACTAATAGAGGGGAACCCCATATGTTTGCCTAGAAAAAAAGCAAATAAATAATGACTCTTAAGAAAAAAGGAAAATGAGGGGTGCCTGGGTAGCTCAGTCGGTCAAGTGCCTGACTCTTGGTTTCGGCTCAGGTTGTGATCTTTATGGGAAAACTCTACACACCAAAAATGTGTTAGAGATATTTACTGTAATTTAAAATGTCAGAAAAATCTGGTTTTGAAAATCATCCTTTGAAATATTAATATTAATATGCGAATAATATATTAATATTTAATATACAAATATGTTATGAATAGAATAGGAATATTAATAGCAATAATAAATTACACTTTCACAGGATTACATAAAATACCTTCCACACTTCCCTCCCCCAGACCCCCTCAGCTCCTCTAGACACCACAAGATACTCAGAAACTACCCTGGCACTGGGTCCTGTTCATGGCTTAAACCTTCCTTCAAATCATCAGGATCGAGTGAAGTCACAGGCTTCTTAATGGTGGCACCACAGGACTTCATGAGCAGCAGGGCCTGGTGTATGGCTCCAGGATTCCTTATTCAGAGCAAGACTTTGTGTCTCCCTTTTCCTAAGCTACAAAGAACTTGACGGTATATTCCCTGGATGCTGGCATAACAGCCAATATTCCCGCTTGGAGAACAAGGTGAGGATCAGTTTCCCTGTCCTGGGAGCTCTTTCTCTCACACTCAGAGAGCTACGCATCTGGAGTGTTGGCAGAGGGGACTCGGTGTGTGGTGGTCGCAGCGATGGCAAATAGCACACAGCTCAAGGGACATCTTGACGATGTTGAGGTGTCCCAGAAGAGGAGCACTTCCCAATACTGAATTTTGGAGAAGACTTAAAAAGCAGATCCTCCTGGGGCACCTGGCTGGCTCAGTTGCAGGAGCATCCAAGTCCTGATCTTGGGGTAGTGAGTTTGAGCCTCACACTGGGTGTAGAGCTTACTAAAAAAATATATACATAAACTTAAAAAAACCAGATCCTCCTATGGTGTTTTAGGGCTATGGATGCTGAATATAGAGCTAGCCTTAGTCAACTCTTCAGACCTCTTTGAAACTACACTATTCCTCCTTCGAATTTTGTCAGTTTATGTTGAACTGACACAACTTTATAGCTGTATTTAGTCTCAGTGTCGACATCTACTTGCTCTCTGGATGAAGCTGATCATTTTGAGGGCAGGGGCTATCCCATTCATATCAGTGTCTCCCCCAAGGCCTCGGTGTTATGTGGGTACTCAGTAAATGTTTGCTGAGGGTGCCTGGGTGGCTCAGTTGTTAAGCATCTGCCTTTGGCTCGGGTCGTGACCCCAGGATCCTGGGATCGAGTCCTACGTTGGGCTCCCTGCTCGGCGGGAAGCCTGCTTCTCCCTCTCCCTCTCCCCCTGCTTGTGTTCCTGCCCTCGCTGTCTCTCTCACTGTCAAATAAATAAAATCTTTAAAAAAAAAAAAAAGTAAATGTTGCTGAATGCAAAGGCCGACGCGTGCATCTTCGTTTCCCATGTAAAACCGTGAACGCTAGCTCTGAGGCTTACATAGTAGGAAGATTCAGAATAGAGAAAATTGAAGACTCTTTTAAACCGCTATCATAAAATAATTTCTCTAAATCATAAAGTGGTGATAGAATGCCAGCTAAGAGAATCTCAAAGTCTACTTTCACGCCTTAGTTGGTGATAAAGAAAATTTAATGATGTGACAACAAAAGCTTTCCTAGTGTTAATGCTATCCCTATTTGAATGAATATTAAGAGATAAACAGAGCTAAAGGAGTCTTGAGTTAAGAAAATATATATAAAACATATTTATCCCAATAATCTGACTAGAACATGTTAAAGTGAATATTTATTAATATTTATTTAATATATAATTTATAATTATATAGTTTTTATGTATAAATTTTATATATAAATTTTGTATATAATTATACACAATCTATAATTATATATGATATATGTTATTGATATATATTTTAATATAATTATATATAGTTAGTTATAATTATACATGATTTATAATTATGTAATTTATTAATATTTATTTAAATATAAATTATTAATATTATTCTTTCATGGAATTATAAGTTTAAAAAATATTTATTAGAGTTTTGAAAGAAGGAAAAGGGACTTTGGATAAATTCCGAAGAACAATCCCATCTTCCAGGTGAAGAAATGAGGCAAAACATGTTTCCTAGGTGGTCGGAAGTAGTATGGGGAGGGAATCCAGGTTTCGAACCCCCCAGTGCAGAGCACGTTCCCTATCGCCACAAGGCCCACAATTCTGCTGGCATGTAGATGTGAATGGAAGTCCCTCTTCCACAGCTTGCCCCTTGGGAGCTGGAGCTGGAGCTGGCTTACCTTGTCATTCCAAAGTCAGACACTTTCACGGAGAGATCACTGTCTACCAAGCAGTTCCGAGCCGCCTTTGGGGGAAAACAAAATTACCAAGTAGTAAAAGTGGCCAAGAATCTCCCCACATGAGAATCCGAGATCTTCCTTCTCTCTGGGGGAGTACTCACAAAATCTAAGATCGCCTATCAAAACTGCAAATGTTGAGAAGTTGTCTTTTTTCCCTTTGCAATTCTCAATTTTTCAAAATGAAACTGTGTTCCTGTATTTTTACCCAAGCATCCACCCTTGTCAAACAGCATGAAGGGTATTACACATTAAACACAGAACCTCAGCTCGTCAGCAAGAAGGGAAAAGCTATTTCTAGGGGTTCCTTCTCCACCACTGGGGTGCCACGCGTTAACGGGCGCTTTGAAGGCATAAATGCTGGCCTAGCACGCACGGCATGTTTGCTGTTCGGCACAAGAAAATCTCTAAATGTAAATAGCAGTGCATAGTAAGTAGAACGCTCCCCACTCCCAGCCTGAGCCAAAGATACACACAAATTTCATTTCCTTCTGGTTTTGTTTTTCTCAGTGCTGGTATTCATTGACTGCTTTAGCGCTAAGCCCTTCCGGGAGCAAAGGTCAGCCTGAGTTTCATGGTTGTGACATGCACTAAAACGACCAAAGTCTTTTCTTTTTATCTGTTTTCCTCCATACCACAACCCAGCTACATAAATCGTGACGGCTTCTTCTTCTCTTTCTGTACCGCAAATATTTTATTTTGAAATTGTGGTTCTTAATACAAAAGTGTCATGTGCTTGGGCAAGTCACAAGGGAGCAAAGCACAAGTGGAGACGCCCTCCTTGCCGGCCAAGGGCGCCAGCTCTGGAGGTGCGGACTGTGGATCCCTTGCTTGCTTTGAGGGCCCGCGGCTTTGCTTACCAAGTCCCTGTGTATAAACTGATGGCTTTCCAAGAAGGCCATGCCTTCACACACATCATAGCACATTTCTAAGAGCTGGGAGGTTTCAAGTCCTTTTCCATGACTCTTCAGGTAATTAAGCAAGCAGCCATTGGTGATATATTCAGTCACTATGTATATAGGGTATTTCTTCGAACACACTCCGTAGAATTTCACCAGCTTGGGATGGCTGAGTTTCCTGGAAACCACAGATTTTCAAAGATTAGTACTAAATTTGCAAACTCCACTTTCCAGATGTCCTGAACATGAATCACTTGCATATTTTTGCTGGTTTTAATGTCCCCTCCTTCTACTTGAACAGAGAAAGAGCGGGAAAAGTTGTGGATTTTATTCTGGGAGCATCAGCCTTTGAAGGCAAAAGAAAAAAAAAAGCTGCCTCCTAGTAAACACTGACAACTGCAACAGCAACTGGGCAGTTGCGGGTGCCGGGTTCGCCTGTCCTACAGAGAATCAGCGAAGCAATGGACTGTTGTCTCATAAATCCTGTTTAGTCCCCTGGCATCTAGAGAACTTCCGTGACTGATTTGGAGGAAGCTACACACTAAGGGCAATCACTTCCATTTCACTTTCTCAGTTTTGAAGTCCAAACACTTCATTCTCAAAAAATAATTGTATCAGAATATGAAGGGTGCAGGAAAAATGAAAATAGTTGCCATGTTACGGAAGTGAGATTACCCATGATTTTTCTTTCTTTTTTAAAGAAATTCATTTTACATTATTGTTACATTATCTTTCTTTTTTTCTTTTTTTCTTGAGATTTATTTATTTTAGAGAGAGCAAGTAGGGGAGGGGCAGAGGGAGGAGAGAGAGACTCTCAAGCAGACTCCCCATGCAGAGCCCTACACGGGACTCGATCCCATGACCCCGAGATCATGACCTGAGCTGAAATCGTGAGTCCAACACTTGACTGAGCCAGCCAGGTGCCCCACATTATCTTTCAATAATAAATTTAGAAAATAGTAACCACCTGACATAGCCCTTCTGGTAGGTCATGACAGATAGACGCTCTGCTATCACGGTGTTCATCCACTTGTCCGTGTAATTGATCAATTTACAGGCTGATTCTTTAATGTTCTGATGTGTAAAGTAAATTTAAAGCCAACATGTCAATTTTAGGATTTTTTTAAGATTTTTATTTATTTATTGCATGAGAGGGAAGAAGGTCAGAGGGAGAAGCAGACTCCCTGCCGAGCAGGGAGCCCGATGCGGGACTCGATCCCGGGACTCCAGGATCATGACCTGAGCCGAAGGCAGTTGCTCAACCAACTGAGCCACCCAGGCACCCTATTTTAGAATTTTTTAATGAGCATTTATTAAATAGTTATTTTATATAGTTATAGTTAAATAGTTATAACTAATTAAATCATTATTTTCTTATTTCTTACTTTAGGGACATGCCTTATCAGGTTGCTCAAGGCTATGAGCTCGGTTATGCCTCTTTCAGCTATTTTAGAGAATGGCCTGGAACTCAGCATTTCTCCCTGCAGAGGGAAGTCTAGTGGTTGGACAAAGATCCCTCACCCAAAAAAAGCTGTTCCTTGAGTAAATTCAGTCACTGACCAGGGGTTACACCATAAGCCTTTGGGAGTTTCTGCTAGATTTTTCTGTCCTGCAAATGGAGGACATCACAGGTCCCCTCCCCAGTTTTATGACAGTATAATTGCCCAAGGCAGGACAGGCTACGTAATTTGCAGGGGCTGGTATGAAATGAAAATGCAGGGATCCTTATTTGAGACTTAGTAAGAATTTCAAAATGGTGGGGGCCTGGGTGGCTCAGTCGGTTGAGCATGTGACTCGTGAGTGACTCGTGATTTTGGCTCAGGTCCTGAACTCAGGGTCATGAGATCAAGCCCTGTATCAGGCTCCATGCTCAGAAGGGAGTCTGATTGAGATTCTCTCTCCCTCTCCCTCTGTCCCTCCCCCCCCACTCTCTCTCTCTCAAAATAAGTAAATAAGTCTTAAAAGAATTTCAAGCTGTGACATCACAGCAGTAAAGCCAGTGCAGAGCCTTCCTAAGTGTGGGGGCCCTCAAGAATGGTGCAGGTTGCTTGCCCGTGAAACCAGGCTTATGTTCACATAGTACCTCTGCTTCCAGACAATTCTGCAATTGTGGTCAAAGCGATTTTTCAGACTCTCCTGATATCTTTGGTCTTCACAGAAGAATGACTAAGGAAATGGACTGGAATGTCTGCCTGGGTTTGCATCTCTGCTCTGCAACTTTTACTAGCTTGCTGACCTTGGGCCCGTTACTTAACATTTCTCTGCTTCAGTTTCCTATAAAACACAGATAACAATGGCACATCCCTCCTAGGCTTCTTAGGAGGATTGAATGCATTAATATTTATAAAGTGCTCAGAGAGATGCCTGAAAGCACTATATAAGTGTTCAAAAAATTTTTAAAGTGCCATTACTCTGCAGCAGGCTAGGATTTGTGATTTCAACTATCTTTGCTCAAAATCCTGCTATGGCATTGTTTTTCATATCATGCTGATTAGTTCCGTAAAGGCAGGATGACCAGCTGTCCCAGTTTGCCTGGGACTGAGGGGTCCCTGGATCACAGGACTTTCATTGCTAAAGCAGGAAAGTCTCAGGCAAACCTGGATGGTCGGTCACCTTTCAACGTCTGATTCACCATGTTTATAAGAAGAGGTAGAATCATTAAAATAATTCTTTGTACTTACATAGATAAGAGGGGGCTGGAAGAGGGAGAGAGAAAGCTCAGAGAGAGAAAGAACACATCAGCATTGCCTACTGTGTTTGGAGCTAAGGCCTGTTAGGAAGGGTATCTTCACTTATCAGATGAGGAAAGAAGCGTGAGAAAGGGATTCTGTCAGACTGTACTGAAGGTACCAGGAAGGAAAAGGATATTGTCCATAGGACACTGGTTTTCAGTATTGCCTTAGTCCTGGCCACTAGAGGCTTCTGCCCTTGGGCATGTGCTCTACAGGGCCCCACTCTGTTCTTCATCCCACCATGCTCCTCCCCAAAGGGCAAGGACATGCCTACTCAGAATCCATGCATCTCTTTTTCTTGGTCACCCTCGGGGTACCAGGACTCTGGAATCCCCTGTCCACATAGTCCTGAGCCCTCTTCCAGGACCCGGGTGGGTCCTTCCTGGGCCAGTTCCCCTAAGAGTGAACCACGCTATTGGTGTGTCTACCCCCAACCAAGATCCTTAGCTGATACGGAGCTGTTTGTGAGGGACACAGAGGGAGCTTGGATGCGCTGAATGCTATGTGTACACATAATTACTGAGCACATTGCAGGACAGAGCAGGGGGTGGGAGGAGAAAGGAGAGGGGTAGAGTTGGTGTGGGAGTGGGGGTGACATGGGCCAGAGGCTGGTTTCTCTAAAGACTCTTGAGAATTCTAAACTTGAATATGGCCTCTCAGGTTGTTACGGAGGTATACTTGTCAAAGTAGGAGCATAGAACTGATTTTATTTAACAGTGTGTCAGCTTGATTTATAACTTCTAAGTATACCTATGATATGTGGGCTCTTGCTCTAGGCCTTGCAAATGTTAGGGACAGACCTGTTAGCATGAATGTCCCTCCACTGTAAGGGCCAAACTGCCATTCCTCAGAAGAAACTTACATCATTGTCTGGGCCTCCTGGAAGAATTCATCTTCGGACATGGAGCCCTCCTTGATCATCTTAATGGCAACATCATACTGTCCCTTCCACTTGCCCAGATGGACCACTCCAAACTGACCACTTCCCAGCTCCTTCAGGAGGGTAAGCTCTTCTCTTTTCAGTTCCCATATTCCTAATAAGGCAAGATAGACACTCTTTAGGATGAGAATAGAAGGCTTTGGGGCTGACAGCTTCCCAAGTGATTTCTTCTCCAATGAGTTTCATATTGACAATATGAAGAACAGCAAGACTTTTTAAGTTGATCACTTAAAAAAATCCTTAGTGACATGGTCTTATGACCTATTTGACCACACGATAATGCCACCAGGACAACATAGTTCTTGAAGCAGCTATAGTTCTTGACAAAAGGCTTAGAACATTCTGCCACCCAGAGGCATCTTAGAAACGTCTGGTGTCAAGACTCGCTCGATGCTCTTAGCTTGGTAAAAAAAAAAATCACTAGCGTTTTCTTATAAAGCAAACTAAACTGTGATCTGGGTGGATGTCATGATCCTAAATACACAAGGTTGAAAACAGGCTCCCCTGAGCAAGCACAGAAGCCTGGAAGAAGAAAGGACAGGCAATGGGGTTCTAGAGGCTGATGACTGGGTCTAATAAGAGGCCAAATTGGACAGTCTTTTTGGTAAGGTTGAGGAGACTACAGAGTTAGGTCAGGAGGACAAAAAAGATGTTTGGTTTTTTTTTCTCAAGAAAATGAACAAACATATTATTGCTGAAGCCTTCCCGGGCACAATATGAATAGGGACTTTCTTC